GATTCATATTATTATTATGAAACTTATAATTAGCAATTACAACTTATATTTAATGTTTAGAAATATTACAAAGGACTGGCACCAACCGATAAGTGATTAAACTGTATATAAAACTATGTTTTGTGTTTTCGTATGTCTTTTCAACATTATTTTTAGATTTTTATTTATTTTATTTTATTTATATATTACTCTATAATTTAAAAAAAATATCATAAGATAATCTGCTTGGACTCATTTTATAGTATGAAATTTTTACTTGTACATATATTTTGAGTTACGTTTTTCCACATTTTTTGGTGTAGAATAAGGTGAATAATTAAAATTATTTTTTCCTTTTGAAATTTTACGATACTGGTGACTTTAAAAAATGTTTTGGGAATTTGTTTTCATATATTCATCTAATATGTCTGTAGTACGTCAACTTATACAGGCAGTCTTAAAATGTTATGCAGGAGCACAGGCATTAACTTTAGGGCTATTCTACTGTCTTTAATCGTAAATAATGAAACGAAGCAGGAAATTTGTTATTAGCTTTAGATGCTTTTACAACGTGTATCTAAAAATATATATAAACGGCAGTAAAGTATAAAGTTTGAAGTATAAAGTATAAAAACTTAAACATACATCAGGTAAAAAATATTCATTTTTCTCTTTTTGTTAGAAAGTTAAAACAAGCATTAGAATCGAAAATTGTTATTTTTATTCTTTTTCTACATTTAGAGTAAATAAAGTAAGCGTTTAAAAATTTAGAAAAACAAAATTTATTATGATTAAAATTAATATTTATAATTAAAAATATTATTCACAACGTAAGAAATTAATTTAAAAAAGTATATGAAAAACAGCAGAACAACGCAAACCAGATATAACACAACGTTTCTCCAAGTAAACGTTTCGTACATTTTTGCACATTTCACATATTTGTGCATTTGCCACTGATACAAAATTGTGAGAAAAATTTAGAATCGTTATATGAGTTTAAATGAAAATAGTTTAAGAGTATCAAAAAAACATTAACATTAATAGTATTATGTAATGATGAAAAATATAATATATTAGGCATCGGTAAAGTGATTTGTATTAATTTTTTAAAAAAATTTTTCTTTTTACATTAAAATTTTAGATCCCGATAGTCTGACTACGGTAAAATGGATACAGATACACATATTTGGAGCTGATGACTTTACCAGTTGAAAATTCAGACGGAAATAGATTAGATTTGAAATCAAGAATATTTCACATAGTATCGTCAAAAATATAGAAGTAGAATGTGATCTCATATATAAGATATATATATAAGAAGATCTATCTAATATATTTAATATTTTCGAATAATAGACTATATCGATTATTGGCACTGTGATATTATAGAAGTTTGAAAATGATTTAATAAACGATATATAATTAAAGAAATAAAAGATAGAAAAAAATTACAGATAAATTTATGGGGGATAATAACCATTCACTGAAATTTTATTTGAAATTGAATATTGATCGAATATTGCCAGTAGCATCACTATTTCATAATTGGTATAAATTTGTTTTTCGCCGATACAGATCTTCATCTTTCATGTTTCGTGAGCAGATACATGCAATTGCGTGTAAATAAATATATTTATTCCGCCAAATCCGTATGTTGTATTTATTGGTTATACTGCTCAGTCAACAGTAAAATATAATTAAAAAATAGAAGAAGTAAGAATAAAAAATAAAAATTAAATAAATCTGAAAAATCTCAAAAGAAAAAATAATTCAGAATGAAATGATTACTTAAATTAATATACAATTATTTTTATAATGATTAAGCTTAATCTAAATTTTAAAAAATCTTACATAAATCTTACATAAATCTTAAATAAATAATACAAGAAAAATCTTAAATCTACGATTCGCGTTAAAAATTACAATCATATCTTACTTCGCATGAAAAAAGTTAAAAGAGATTAAAATTATACTTGAATATTGAGGAATAACGAGAGAATGAATAAAAAAAACCAAATTCGAGTTACTGCTATCTTCATCACGGCTTATATTAATCAACATAATTGATTCTTCAAACGGATGATATTCATGTTGACCAGTAGAAGGTTACGACAGCGGTTTTGCAGTCGAATACACGATGTCCACGACGACCATAGGAAGGAGTTAGAAATAGGTTCAGGACCATCGGAGCCGGATTACCAAGACGTCGTCTCAACGATACGCAGGAAGGAACTGGAAGACATCCTAAAACCAACGAGACCGATTTACAAAATTGCATTCGACATACAAAATTTCAGTTCAATTGGTATCCAAAAGTACCAATCGATCAGAGCGCCGATCTTCGACTGGCCATCGGAAATAGAGCACCAACCCGATGAATTCTTGCAATTGTTGCATGAGGATTGATGGACAGTGACGCGAATTAGATTTGGAGAATAATAAAGAAACGTAAAAGTATCTAGCTAAATAAAATCGATAAATTAAGGAATATAAAGATATATATTCCATATATACATATATATACATATACTTCGCACGAAGTTAGAGAATGTGTTTTCGTACGAAACGCGCACGCGATAAACTTAATCTATCCATTTTATAATCTTAACTTAACTTAAAACTAAGATGCGCGCATACCACGATGATCCAGCGACGATCCCACGATGATCCAGCGACGATCCAGCGACGATCCCACGATGCCCCCGTTGGGGGTTTAATAAAGTGGTACCTGCAGTCCAGTTTAGACAACCAAATTATCTAAAGGAAAATTGGCACAATTTGCTAAACTGGACTGTAGGCACTGCGTAGGACTGTGTTCTTAGCTTGGTATCGA